TTTTGGGGAGAAATAAGTTTGTAACTTTCGAGTCAAGGAAATCGGGCACAAAATCATAATTTGGTGGATATATGATGGTATATGATAGTTTTTGTGGAGAAATAGCTCGTTGATCCTTTTAGATTTAAGAGAGTTCATAATATTCAAAAAGAAATCAGTTTATGTACATTTATTGAAGACGAAATTGTTTAGGTATTTGTTTTGATAATTTATACGTAAGTTAAAAGTGCTTAAGATAGAGGAGAGTAAGATGCTCTAGAGAATGGTTCAACAATCCAAAATCTTCTCAAATAAGAATGTGTATTTCGTGACTGAAAATGAAGAATGAAGATTAGAGTTCAAAATTGGTCTTTAGAAGTTCATCTCTTCAGATTGATCGGTTGATGGATTAAGATGGATCAAGATTGAAATTCGTACATGGTTGTGTAACTCTCTTCCAATGGTTTACGAGGAAACAAATTGGATATAGGGTGCCACAAGGCTTACGGATGAACCTTGGTAAGCCAAAAACAGAGAAGATGAGACACTCACGATCTCCTTGAATTCGGAAGCAAGTGTTAGTAACATATCATAGTTTATTTTGTTAATATAAAAAGGTGAAGAATTACAAAGATGCAAAAAGACTTTATATAGTAGTCAGTCAGTCATACGAACTTGAGTTGAAATAAAATTTTAAAGCATACAAAAAAATCAAATCAAAACGACAATGAAATAAACTATAAGATTTTTTAGGTAAATAAAATAAGTTATTGTTTCTCCTTTAGAAATGACAAATAGTGCCTTCAACAAAAAAATGGCAAATGATTTGGATAAAAGCTTGGACCGTCAGATGATTCGTTTTGGTTGGTCTTGAAGCTTTGTTTCATCACCTTGTCTTTAAGTATAACTTCTTTTAAGACTTCTATATGACTTGTCCAGAGTTGGTGTGCCTTTGTAGAGAAGTAGAGAACTGTTCTTTTCGTTTTGATTAATTAAATGCTCCACAAATTGGTTGAATTCTTCTCTTCATATCCACATTCTAGTGTGTGTTTGGGTGTCTTTGGCCCTTCTAACTTCACGTTGACATTTGTGGTTCTAGGTCCACATCATAAGCAATGCATTTATAGACACATTTCATAAAAAATTTAAGATCATATTCATTGAGGCCATTTTCAAGATTCTTGCTATTCAAGAAGTCAAATAACGAAAATGATGGAAAGTAAACGGTACGAATTTCTCAAATGAAAAACTTTTTATAAAAACTGAGAAATTTTTGACACTTTAAATATATGTTGTTGAAATATGCCTTGAATCTGTGCCGGTCGATACAGGTGTCATGTATCGGTCGATCTGACTGGATACGTATCGATCGATACAAGAGCTTGTGTATCGATCGATATTGTCAAATCTGAGAAAATATGGAAAACTTCATTAAACACTTTTTTATATATACCCTTAGGATTTTACCCTATTCTGTAAGCATGAGTTGTACTCTGAAAATTAGTCTCCATTAATAAAGTACTCTCTTTGCCCGTGGACGTAGCCGTTAGGGGCGAATCACGTTAAATCTCTGTGTCTTTCTTTTCTATTCATCTATCTATTAATCTGTATCTTCTCACATCTGTCACAACAAACTGGTATCAGAGCTTCGGGTTGAATCTGGTGAGAAGATGTATGGGATGAATATGAAGATAGACAAGTTTACTAGAAGGAACAGTTTCAGTCTCTGGCAAATCAAGATGAAGGCGTTGCTGAAGCAACAAGGTCTTTGGGCACCGTTGTCAGGGAAGAAGGTTGAAGCTGTTACTGCTGAGATGGAGGTTACTGAGAGAAGGCGTATTCAACAATTTTATTGTGTCTGGCAGATGAGATCATCATCGAGGTTTCTGGTGTTGATACTGCAGCTGATTTGTGGTTGAAGTTGGAGAGTCTATACATGACGAAGTCTCTGACTAAGAAGCTACTTCTGAAACAACGTCTTTTCGCTCTGAGGATGCAGGAAGGTACACAACTTCAGGATCACCTTGATAGTCTAAATTCCATTATATTAGATCTGAGGAATATAGATGTTAAGGTGGAGGATGAGGATGCGGCGCTGATTTTATTGGTTTCACTTCCTAACTCATATGAGAACTTTGTTCAGTCATTCATAGGGAGTAAGGATACAGTGAGTTTGGAGGAAATCAGGTCGGCACTTCATAGCAGGGAGTTGCGTCACAAAGCATCTAGTTCTGGCACAGATGACCAAGCTTCTGGGTTGTTTGTAGGTGGTGGAAAAAACTTTGGGAAAGACAAAAGGTCGTTTACAAAGGGTCCTAAGCCAACTGATATTTGCCATTATTGCAATGAAAGAGGACATTGGAAGTCTGATTGTCCTAAGAAGCAGAAGCAAGCTGATTCCGCTGCTGTAGCAGAGAATGAAGCTAAGTCTGATGACGATATTGCTCTAGTTTCTTTTGGAAAAACACATTCTAGGGATGTGTGGGTTCTAGACACAGGAGCGTCATATCATATGTGTCCAAGGAGGGAGTGGTTCTCAGAGTATGAGGAAGTGACTGATAGCAAGATCAAGATGGCGAATGACTTTATCTGCGATGTTGCAGGAATCGGTTCGATAAAGCTCAGGGCACATGGTGGTAGAGTATGCACATTGACCGGAGTTAGACATGTTCCGTCCATGTCCAAGAACTTGATCTCAGTTAGTCTTTTGGATAGCAGAGGTTTCAAGTATTCAGGTGGAGATGGAGTTCTGAGTGTCTACAAGGGTTTAGATGTGATTCTGAGAGGTTTCATTCATGGTACTCTGTATTTGCTGGAAGGTTCTACAGTTTCAGCAAATGGTCTGGAACTTTGTTCATCAGAGTTCAATCAGTTTTGTAAGGATGCAACAACTACTAGGCATTTTACAGTCAGAGATACACCACAACAGAATGGTGTAGCAGATATGAACCAAACTTTGCTGGAGAAAACGAGGTGCATGTTTTCTAATGAAGTTTTGGAGAAGAGGAATGGGGATTTTGATAAGCAGGTGGAGCTGCAAGAAGTGCAGTCGCATGAACCGTGTCGATCGATGACGGATCAGCAGTGTCGATCGATGACAGATCAACCGTGTCGATCGATGACGGACCAGCAGTGTCGATCGATGTCAGATGTTCAGTGTCGATCGACGTCAGATGTTCAGTGTCGATCGATATCGGAAGAAGGGATCGAACGATCGACGTCAGACGAGTTCTCTATTTCTGGAAATCAACGTGTTGGGTTTAATGCTAGAGATAAACCAAGGAGAGTTGATGTCAGGCCACCAGAGAGATATCACTTTAATGATATGGTGGGTTATGCACTGCAGGTTGCAGAGGAAGTGGATACTTATGAGCCATCCACTTACAGAGAAGCTATTTCTAGTTCTGAGTCTGAGAAATGGTTTGTTGCAATGGAAGATGAGATAGAGTCTCATGAGAAGAATCATACATGGGATCTGGTCACACTATCATCTGAGTACAAGAGGTGTGACAACTATATGGCTAGTTTGGACAAAGACATGAGTCCTTATGACTGTTGTTTTTACATGAGCAAGGTGGAGGATGTTTCATGTATCTACCTGGTGTTGTATGTAGATGACAAACTGATAGCTTCCAAGAAGATGTATGATGTTCAGAAGCTGAAAGAGCTGCTGAATTCTGAGTTCGAGATTTTCGGGTACCTTAAGGGTACATCTGATGTTGGTCTTGTCTATGGAGACAAGGATCCAAGACTGGTTACAAGCTATTCGGATTGGTATTATGCAGGAGATGTGGACAGCATGAGATCTGTGACTGGTTACGTATATACTTTGGGTGGTTCTGTTGTGAGCTGGAAGGAAACTTTGCAGTCGACGGTGACTTTGTCTACAACTGAGGCAGAGTATATGGCATTGACAGAAGTTGTTAAGGAGGAAATATGGTTGAGAGGATTGGTCAGTGATCTTGGTCTTCATCATGATCAGGCTACTGTGTTTTATGATAGCTTGAGTGCTATCTGTTTAGCCAAGGATCAGGTTCATCATGAGAGAACCAAGCATATTGATGTGAGATACCATTTTCTGAGAGATGAGAAGAGGATTGAAGTGAAGAAGCTAGGAACAACTGATAATCCTGCAGATATGTTCACTAAGCCGGTTCCTCACAGCAAGTTCAAGCATTGTCTTGAATTGCTGAACATCTCAAGTTGTTAATCTGGCCCTGATGGGCATCTGGCCCTAAGGGACATCTGGCTCTGAGGAGCATCTGGTCCGACGGGACATCTGACATCTGAGTTCGACGGAACATCTGAGGCAAAGAGAAAGTATGGTACATCTGTTCAGCAGCACGAAGAAGTGCATTCTGGTACATCTGATTATGGAGGATTCAAGTCAAGGTGGAGATTTGTTGAAATATGCCTTGAATCTGTGTCGGTCGATACAGGTGTCATGTATCGGTCGATCTGACTGGACACGTATTGATCGATACAAGAGCTTGTGTATCAATCGATATTGTCAAATCTGAGAAAATATGGAAAGCTTCATTAAACGCTTTCTTATATATACTCTTAGGGTTTTACCTTATTCTGTAAGCACGATTTGTATTCTGAAAACTAGCCTCCATTAATAAAGTACTCTTTTTACCCGTAGACGTAGCCGTTAGGGGCGAACCACTCTGTGTCTTTCTTTTCTATTCATTTATCTATTAATCTGTATCTTCTCACATCTGTCACAACATATGTATTATACAATGATCAACCCACCTCGTGTGGTCTATAAAATCTATCTTCACTTCTGACAACACTCAACATCGCACACTGTTATCAGAATTGTTATCTACATCCTCCTTGGGTCACTTGTAGCCATCATTAATTCTGTATGCATGGTAGGTTTGCTCATTCAATGCTCTACTATGACTTTTCGATTCAAGCTTTTCCTCGATGGAATTTCAACGTGGACGTTCTTAAACCTATAATAAGATAATGTATAAATAGTGTTGGGATTGATGAAATTTAGTAGTTACCGTATTTATTCGTTTATCGAAACTCCTATAAATTTATAGCGGTATTACTAAAACCAATCACCCACCTTGTCCCTATTAAATACAACAAGCCAACGTTAAAACACAACGAAAGTTGCGCCTATAATCTCCGGCAGTACTCTAGTCTTCCGACGCCTGGCGTTTTATCAGATCCGAGACATCTCTCATTTAGGTTTGTTGCTTCTGTTCTTTTTCTACTCTCTCTTGGTAGTAGCTTCGGTGTTTTTGAATTTGTATTCTGTTTCCTCCTGAATTTATTTATAAATTTCATTTCCATGGTACGTTGTTTTCTTGGATACAAAACTTGAATAATTCAGTAAAGAACTTCGGGTAAGCTATACAGTACGCTATTTTTCTTGACTGAGAATATTTAAGATATCATTTTGTTTCTCAAATCAACAAAGAACTGATTTGGAACCTAGGAGCTAGTGATTTGCCAACTTGTGAATTGCCTTCTTTGGAAAGTTTTTGCTTATGTATATGATGGTGGGGTCCTTGGAGGAGAATGAGTTACAAGCTGTATCGTTTTATGTATTTTTAACTAATACTTGCTTTTGTGCTAGCTAGGTTCATTTTTTTTTTTTCTGGTTTGTTGTGTGGTCGGCCAGTTAGGCCAGTGGTATAATTTGCATATCATAAACAATAACGTTTAACTATCGTAACAAACAATAGACGCATCTTTGGCGTGTTGAAGCTGACATCAGTGTTTTTATTATTATATCACCATGCGTCGGGTTCCTTTTTGAAATAATTACAGTGGCGTAAGAGCGTTGCGGCGTAGCTTTTCTTGATCGTCTGTTTTCATTTTTCTTTTTCAGCTCAGTAAAAGACCCGCAAAATGGCTTCTCAGAGGTTCAGTGTGGATCTTGACAAGCCTCTTGCTTCTCAGGCAAGCATCTAATTAAGTAGTTTATATCACCATAATCACACAAGATTGTCTTCTCTTCTTTGTTTTAGCTAATCAAAGTTGTATACCCTTTTGAAACCCCTCTTGATATTGCTTTGGATGTTTGATAGGTTGGTCATCTTGGAGAAGCTTACGACGAATGGGTTCACCAACCTATTGTGAGCAAGGAAGGCCCTCGGTTTTTCCAAAGTAACTTTTTGGAGGTATATATCAGTTTCTTTTTTTTTCATTCTTTTTTTCTATTTTTCATATATTTTTTTCAATAGAAGAAATATTATATAAAACTTTGATCCTCCATGATCTGACATATTTGCAATGACACAGTTCTTGACACTTACAGTTTGGTGGGCGGTTCCTGTCATTTGGTTGCCAGTTGTTGCCTGGTGCATCTCCATGTCAGTAAGGATGGGCTGTTCACTCCCAGCGATTGTCTCATTGGCAGCCTTGGGAGCATTTATCTGGACCTTTATAGAATACTGTCTTCACCGTTTCGTTTTCCACATGAAGACCAAAAGTTACTGGTTCGTTACACACACACACATGTACTCACTATATGAATCCTCTTCAACTAGATGCTAATGTTATCGTGGAATCATTTCAGGGGAAACACGGCACATTATCTTATTCATGGATACCATCACAAGCACCCAATGGACCACCTTCGACTCGTCTTTCCTCCTGGTTTAACAGCGATTATGTGCTATCCTGTAAGCATTTATTTGGTCATGTATATACTGTCCTGTTTTCACAAAAAAAAAAAAAAACTTTTTTTTTAATGCGATTTGTTATTGCTTGTGCCCCAGCTTTGGAACCTTGCGAAGGTTCTGGCAACTCCTGCAGCCGCACCTGCATTGTTTGGAGGCGGCCTGCTCGGGTATGTGGTGTATGATCTTACTCACTACTACCTTCACCATGCTAACCCAACTACAGCAGTGACCAAACACCTCAAGGTTAAATATGGCCAAGTTTTCTTCTGTTTTGTATTCAGACAAGACCTTGCACATCATTATTAAAAAGTTTATTTATGGGTTTTTGTTGTTTTTTCTTTTGGGTGTGATATCTGCAGAAATCCCATTTGAACCATCACTTCAGGATTCAGGACAAGGGGTTTGGTGTAACTTCGTCGCTATGGGACATAGTGTTTGGTACACTTCCCACCAAGAAAGCTCTCAAAAGAGAGCAAGATTAGTAAGATGGATGCAAAACAAAAAGATATTTGCGATACACAGTTTATTCTTAAACTATTAAATCATCACTCTATGTTAATCTGATCACGTTTCGTTTGGACCAGTGTCTTTGTATATCAATATACTTCACATCCTATGTAATAGTTTTTATGTGTTTCTCAACTAAAAAAAAAAAGACTTTGTTTACAGCAAGTGCAAAAAATATCGTGTATATGTTTGTTAAGGAGCTTTTTCTGAAGAGATACAAAAAACTAGATGGTTTCGATATGTGGGTCTCTTGAAGTTTTTCATGTACGTGAGCTAACCACATGGACATCCCCTCGTGTCATAAAGAGTGATGAAAAGCTAGGTTACCTTGTTCCGTACGTCTCTATATATCAACAAGTTTGATGATCACTAGAGGGCCTTTTATGTTAAATTTTCAATTTATAAACCGTTAATGCATATGTTAGTCCCTGATTTAATAAAGTCGTATTCAACTGACAAGTTGCGGTTAGGCCTGCGGAAAAAACGCAACCAAAATTTTCATTTTAGGTTCAAATTCTGTTTGCGTTTGGTACAAAAAAAAAATTTTAAATCATTTTTATCAGATCAGTTTGATAGTCGGCACTTCAAGTTTTTTTTTAAATAAAAAAAGTATAACTATTTAGACCAAATCAAACAGAAATATCTAATTTTTAACCCAAACTAACTGAAAAATAACTAAATCTAACCGAATTATCCGATTTTTAACTAGAATTAACCTATAATCAGAAACTTCTGTTCAATTCAATAAGATTTTTTAAAAGAGATAATTGGCTAAAGTGCCCTATTTGGCACCTATAATTAGAGAATTGTCCATGATGTGACAATCACTTTCCTTTGGACCATTTTGCCCTTTTCTACACTCTCTCTCCTCTCTTTGACATCTCCCCTCTTTTTTCTCTCTCTTCAATCTCTAATTATTTTACAAATCTCTATCATTCTATATACAATTAAATTTTAAATTTCATTACTTTTTCATAAGTGGCTTGAATCCTCAATTTTGACATTTTTTTTTCTCTCCAATCTCTAATTATTTTACAAATCTCTATCATTCTATATTTAATTAAATTTTAAATTTCATTATTTTTTTCATAAGTGACTTTGAATCCTCAATTTTTTGATGATATCAATTTTCTGGGTTTTAGATTCGACGTCGTGTTAGCGGTTAACAAATATTGTAGACGTTAACAGAAGTGTTAGTTGTTAACAATTATTTTTACGCTTCGCGTTAATAAATGTGTTCGCTGTTAACAAATATTGTATACGTTAACAAAAGTGTTAACTGTTAACAATTATTTTTACGCTTCACGGTAATAAATGTGTTGGCTGTTAACAGATATTGTAGACGTTAACAAAAGTGTTATATGTTAACAAATGTTTTTACGCTTCGTGTTAATGAGAGGAAAGAGAAATGACATTCTCGGCATTTCCTTGCCAAATGCTTGTGTCAGTGTCCTTCATGTCCAATCAATGGTATTTTGCTAATTTGAGTTTCAAATATATGGGAAAATTTTATGGAACCGGGAAAAGCTCAAAAACCAAATGATCAAACCGAACTACTTGGAGGCGTAGTTGCAGTTAAATAAACCGGTTTTAGTAGAAGCAATTCACAGAGGGAGAATAGAATAAACATCGTAGCCAAACACTCTGAAACTTGACGAACCGTCATCAGTAAAGTTTATCGATAGTCCCATCCCGCCTTCACATTCACTCGAATCATACATACTCATTCACTAACTCTTTCGCGGCGAAATTCCAAAATTCTCTGTGATTTGTGATGAGCGATCCCATTCTCATCTCCGACGACGACGAAGCTACTACTTCCCCCTCTGCAAAGAGGCCTCGAAAGAATCCTCTCACCCCTACAATTGAACCATATCCCGTACTATCAGCCTCTTCTCCTTTACTCTCTCACGACGACGACGATGTCACTGTCGTTACCGGAGCTGGAGTTTCTTCCCGCGGCCGCGATGAAGTTTGTACCGGTAATTTCTAATTTGAACAGTTAAATCTCTCAATCAGTACTTAGGGTTTCGATTAATCATGTATTTGGGGAATGAGCCTCTTCAATTTGTCAATTATTTTTTGTGTCTGTGATTCATGATGAGTCTTTGTGAGGGTTTTACTATTTCGCAGAGTTACCAAGTTTGGATGATTGGATTTTTACTTTCACTTCATTCATGTTAAATAGACTTTGTCTATGTTTTCTGATTTAAGGTAAAGGAGTAATATCACTTCTTGACTCGGATTCTGAGGACACTCCTCCCACTGAACCCATAAATGCTGAGCAACCTTTTCGATTGGACTCTGTTATCAGTGATTCAGATTCTGGTGAGCAGAGCTTTTACCCCCCTTATTTATTATTACAATAATTAATTGATATGCTTTTGAGAGACATTACTTGTGAATGGTTTGTTTCAGATAATAGTACTGATTGGTTGCGGGGACCCAGTTCTCAATCTTCACTTCCCAAAGTTTCTGTTCAGGTACACTTATCCCACTTCCCTTGTCTCTCATTTGTTTTGTCTGCCTCTTTTTTTTTGTGATTCCTAAACCGTTCTTTTAGAGGATTAGGATAGTTTGGGGTGGTTTCCATGTGTCATGTTTCTGTGATCCGATTCTTTCTCTTGTTTGGTGCACATTGTTATTGATTTTACTAATTAATGCTACTAGCTGTATGTTAGAAAAATGTTTGATTGTGCCATCTGTTACTGACTGTATTTATTTTACTTGCGAAAATCAGGTCGATTCTTACCGAGAGATCGAAGACAAAGGTGCTGAGAAAATGGGTCTCAGCCAAAAGCAGGCATCTGGTTCTAAAAGTCCATCTCTTTCTGGTAAAGCAGTGCCAAGAAAGCGGTTGTCAAATGATGAAAGAATCCGTGCCACTGAGGAAAAAAAGCTAAGGAAAGAAGTGAGTGTCGTTTTACATGTAGTTTCTACTTTGTGTTCCTTAGACCAAATGTTGATTGCGTTCCGTCGTTACAGCAAGAGAAATTACAGAAAGCTGCCTCGAAAGCAGAAGAAGCTGAGAAAAGAAAGTTGGACAAAGAAATGCGGAAATTGGAAAAAGGAAAATTGGCGCTTAAATCTATCGTCGTCGAGATTGATCTTCAGTTGGTTGAAGGAGCCCTTGGAGGTAATGACTTTCTCCCATTCCTCGTATTCTTCTTCAAAATATTCCTTAGGGTTGGCTAGTTTATCACTAAAGTATAGAGAATGACTTCGTTTGATGTACTGTTGTTATAGCACCTCTGATCTCGCTGTTCGCCGAGAAAGGCATTACATATCGTGTAACCTCTAATCCAATCAAGAGATCTATCGTGTGGAAAATGACACTTCCGGAGGGTGTTTCGCAGGTACTGTAAAGTATAGTTCAGTTTGTAGGATGTGCCAATGTTATTTATTTTGTTTTGCGTCTTGAATCTCACCACTGAAATTCTTTGTGGACGTGTTTTTTAGAACCTAGAACTTACATCCTTGTTTCTTGTGAGGACAAGCGTCAAACCGTTTTGTGTTACTAGTTTCATTTTATTATACCCTTAGTGATGAAAGTCAAGCTATGATTCTCATCTATTGATTTACTTCGAATGGCATTGGCAGGATATTTGAAATGTCCGTTTATAGTTCAATTCTCTCTATTTTGTGTGTTTCAGTTCCAGGCAAATGGGAATTGTGTATCGAAAATATTTGCTAAGTGTTTCTTTTATAAATTTTGTAAACCTGCATCCTTAAAAATGAAATAGTTTGCTTAGTACAGAGTAGTAATCTATTATGAAAAGGAGTATTAAGAAAATAAAAGAATGAATCCCTTGTGTGAAGTATTTTTCTTTTGCTTTCTGATTTGCATCTTTTTTTCTTTGTTGCAGAGTTTACCCCTAGGGCCCATTCCTTATATTTTACTTGCGTATGAGGCTGCAGAGTTTTGCAATCTTGTTGCTAATGAAAGACTTCTAGAAAACTTGTCAAGAGTGCGGGACCAGTACCCATCTTATACAGTGTGCTACCTCACAAGTAACTTAACCTCCTACGTAAAAAAAAGGTTGAGTTTGATAAAGGTGAATTTATTTTGCATGAATCTTTCCATCATGAAGCTGAATAATCTTATTTTATAGGGAAAATGAAGGTTATAAGAACGTGGGTAAATCCAATGTTTGGAGTCGACCTCCTATTGAAGAGGTAGTACAGTAACCATGTTTAAGGTTTATTGCTCCTTCTTTTACCTTTGTGATATTTGATGTGTAATACAGATGCTTGCAAAGTTATCTACGCACTATGATGGAGTGCATTCCAGGCATTGTATAGATGGGCCTGAGGTGGCTGCACATGTTGTTGGTTTAACAAGCAGTCTGGCCTCTTGCCAGTTTAGGTACTAATCACCTATGCTATTTCGATTTTGTTTCCAAGATATTTTATCTCGATTTGATTCTTTACAGGAGTTTAGATATCTTTCCCCTCCAAAAAATTATTAGACTTAGACCAATCAATCCAATTAATCTCTTTATAGAAACCGATGAAAAGTTGATCATGAAAAGTGGGCAGTAAGGTGTGTCATATATTATAAACGTGGCTGTGAAGTAAAGTAAATGGCACCGACTGTGAGAGCTCAGCATTACATAAAGTAGAGCTTACTTACATATACGTGTGGCTGTGTGGTTATGGCGATTGTGTTTCTCTGTATTTTCGTGTTTGGGTTTTAGGTAAAGTAATCTTGGTTCTACAATTTGATGCACAGGAAAAAGTCATCTTGGTTATTCGTAAATGCTGAAGGTTTGGTACCCTCCATGGATTCAGTTGACAAGCACTTGATTAAAAAGAGTCAATGGTAAAGTAAAATCATTAGAAAATGTTAGGTGTTGGTTGTTTATTCGTTTTAAATCCAGCCATGGTGTGTTTTTGTCTAAAGGTTAAAAGCTTTAGTAGCAATACCAAAGGTGCAACCGAGATTCGCGGTAGCCGTAGGGAAGAAATATCCAACAATGAAGTCTCTTCTTAAGGTGTATATGGATCCTAACAAATCGGAACGTGAGAAAGAGATGCTTCTAAAAGACTTGAAGTTAGAAGGGATAACAGGAGATGACAGAAACTTAGGACCAGCTGGTTCTAAGCGGATATACAGAGTTCTAATGTCTACGGCTGGAGCACTAAACACTGATGAAGTGGAAGACTAGAACTAACATTAGAGCGATTGTGTCTAGAGATTAAATTTTTGTACATATATGCGAAAGTTAGAAACTTGCGAAACAGTTTGATAATCTCATAACTTTTTTCTCTATTAATGTTGTATTTTCTATAGGTTTTACATCTCTACGCCCTGAACCAAGTCTGGTTCCTGGACAATGCTGATTATCGAATGCAGTCTAGAACCTTCAGGTATCCCCAAAGGCGGATTCTCACAGGAACAATTATCAACAGCAAAGAGCTCCCACTCCTTAATCCCACATTTCTCCAATGCTGATTGCAATCTTTCCCTCTCCTTCTCTGCCGGGTACGAACCATCAGGTGTCACGAGCACAGCCCCGGTGTAAGACTGTCCTGCAACACGAGCTGCTCCATTGTAATGAAACAGACCCCAACTCAGATCATCAGACACATCCACAATAGTCCAAAACTCGTTTGACACCACACCATTGTCCAAAACACTGAGACGGAAGGTCGCAGGAGTCTTTCCTCTCTTAACAGAGTATCTTCTCCTTCTCCAGACCAGCTTCCCTTCAAGTGTCCTCACCTGAAACACAGGTTCATACCAAAACGAGGACTTCCCTTTCCCTCTGTAGAAAAGCTGGTACTGACACGGGAACTGATCATAAGCCGGGTTCTGTCCAGCCGCGACACGCCAGCTCCAGTCCAAGTCCCCTAACCATCCAACAAACAAGTCTTCTGCTGTCTCATGACATAACTCCTTCCCTCGGAAACTCGTCATGGGAGGCACGTAAGGCTTCTCAGGGATCTTTGCATCAAGTTCTAGACAATTGTGTTTCTGCAGTACACAAAGAGAGAAGGCCTCAAAGTAAGGACTCTCGTAAGAAGCAATGCATCTGTAGCTACAAACTTGGTCCACAGGACTACATTTGTTCAAACACTGAAGTGCTTTCCGACAGTTGGGATCCAAGAGACAGTTCAGAATCTGAGGTCCACAGTTTTTAACCATACAACCAAGCGTCGAAAGCCCTTTGGATCTCAGGTTCTGCAACACGGGAACTGGTCTAACGTAAGCGTTGATGATGACAAGCAAACAGAACCTTATGTCATCAGAGTTGCGGCGTTCCCAAGCATCTCCCACTGTCTTCACAACCTCCGTTGCTTCTTTTTCCTTATTACCGCTTCCAAAATCAGTGCCTCCAAGCCTGTTCATCAAATCTGGAGAAGACTCGAAACAAATCACGTTTTTGATGTTTTTGCTATTCGTCTGAATCCATTTCACGGACTCTGAGTTGTTAACAGCAACGGCGACCAAGATATCAGTCTGGTACAGTTCCTGCTTGAGGTTCACGGCTCTCTGATCATTTGAACGCAAGATTTCATCATCAAAGACGAGCATTTCGTAGCCTTCATCAACCCATTTCAGTCTTCTTGCCTGTTAAGGAAAAGATGTTAGGGTTTTAAAATGATCTTTAATAGAAAGTTAAAAGAGTAATCAGAGATAGAAGAGGACTCACAGTGTGGAGCATAACTTCGTGCCAGGAGGTGGATTTGAGTGGGCTTACTTCTCCTTTTCCGACGAGAGCAACTAATCTCACCGGAGGCTCAGGCTTCTCCGTCTTCTTACTCTTCTCTGTCTCCAAAACCGATTGAACAACGGTTCTCGTGCGGAAACTCAGTTTCTGTCGGGAAAACGTTGTGCCATCAATGGAAGGACGAAGCTTCCGGTGAAATATGGCCGGAGAGAAAGCCGTTCGACGAGCGAGTAACCGATTGAGAAAGTGATCAGAAGCTCCAGTTCCAGGAAGATAAATCACCGACGCCATTACGAAGATACAGTAACGACTAACGACTCACCCTTTATTAATTGTTCACAATCAAGCCACGTGTTCAGTTATGATTGGTCCAACAGCTTTACTTCAACTGATCTTCAAATAGAATGTAGTAGAGATGCTTTGTTCAAAACAGAAGGAATGTAGTAGAAATGCTTTGTTCAAGAAAAAAAAAGGAATGTAGTAGAGATGCCCAGAATCGCAGTTAAAATTCGCCACTATTGGTTCGACCAATTTTATATTATTAAACCGATAATTTGGTTTGGTATAATTCAGAACAAAAAACCAGGACACTTTTCAATTTGGTTCAACATTTTTATTCAAATGTACCTCGCGTTTCGTTTATATCACCATTATCAGGAAACATGAAACACACGTTTGCGTCTAAAAAAAATCACAAGCGTAATAATAACCAAAGCGAAAGAAAGTTAAGAGACCATTTGGTATTTTTTCAAAGTCCATGGTGAGAGACCGACCTTATTAATCAAAAAACAGCAAAAGACAATGACGAAAGAGATAGAGATCTTTCTTCTGCCTTTCATACAAGAAAATCTCAAAATGCTTCAAGAGATCATCATCATCAAATCTTACATAAAGTTACGGATGTCCAACGATTTCACGTCAGGCATCTCCTCATCCTTGAATTCCTCCCTGAACAATCAATCACAAGTTAAGCAAAGACTGAAGATGAGAGCACAAAAAGAAAGAAGGTAACAGAAGACTTACTTCTTTTTCTGAGATTCCATTGCTTCAAGAGCATCACTCTTCAGCTCATCCAGCTGTGCTTTGGCAATGCTTAGCTCCAAGTTCTCCTCGTATTTAGGAAGATCTTCTTTCCTAATCCCAAGCCTGTTAGACATACAAATTCATTAGCTCTAATATTCTAAGGAGCAAGCAGAGATTCTTTTATACATGGTCTTTGCTTAATTGAAGAGTGTTGATATAAACCCACTTTTTGTTGCCTTTTTCGAATTCTGCAACCAAAAGATCCATTCCTTTCTTGTCGCTTCTCAAGAGAGGCTTCTTTAGATCCTTTTCAACTTTCTCCAAAGCCTCGAACATCATAGCCTCAGCACCTAGCTCATCAGTAAGCCCCCTCCTGCAATGTACATATCACAAGAATTAACTCAAGGCTATCAAAAAGGGGGAATGAAACTAATTCAACACTTCACCTGGTGCGGATTTCCTTCAGCTTCAAGAGGTAAGCACGAGCATCTGGGATCTCTCTAGTCTCGTTCTCAATATCATACTTGATGCGTTGAGATTCGGAGAACATGTCTGCCCTGCAACAAGGAGCACGCATAACAAGCAAACCAATTAGCAAAATAACAGACATCTAGAGAAGGGGGTAACAAGAGGGCCCTACTTTTGCCTGATGGTCTTCATGACATTAGCATACTGTTTGACCGCAGCAGGGTCCTGAGGATCAAGGGTGATCTTTTCCTTGCGGAGAATATCAACTGCAGCCTGAAATTTGTTCTTGATCTCCGTAAAGACACCCTTCAACATCTCTGTCAAAAAAAAAGAGAAAAGTGTAGGACTTTAGTAAATAATAGTAAAACAGCAATGCTCTCAGTTCTCACTCTTAACACACTACAGATTTAAATAACACAACGACATAAACAAAGTAAAGAGATAATTCAACTTCTCCACAATATAACTTGTAGTACAAGTACAACAGTCCTAGCAATCACGACCTGTGTTTCTCAATATTTATACACAATTGACCAGAAAAAAAGTGTTCTTTCTAAAAGAAAAATGCTCAGTTCTAATTTAACATGTTCTCTCAAAAGCATGAAAGCAAATGTTTTCCTATAAATAATGCAAGCATAATGTTTCATACATTTAAATACAAATCAAAGATATATAAGAAAAGATTAATCAGACTAACCATCTCCTTTAAAACTAGGACGGGCCGCTTCCTTGGCAAAAGCGCGGACTGGGATAGCATGGTGCTGCTGCAATATCACCAGACTTCCTTGTAGCTGCGTAATGATGACAGTAAGATAACGTTAGCAGCTAATAAATTCGATGAGAAACATAATAACATCATCATCTCTGGCTTGATATCCGTTTGATTCAAAAAGCCCTTCATTTCGAACAATCAACAAAGAGTAGCAAAGGAGGATTCGATTATCTAAAAACTATATCATGGATACACAAAATAAAAAGCATCCAACTTTGAATAATATCCATGTGATTCGGCGATGAATATATCAAATCCATCATCTCACTCTCTAACCATCGCATCTAAATGAAAATGAATCGGAAGAATCGAGTAGCGAGAGGGAGAGAGATAATATGAATACCTGCTTAGATCTGGAGAGGAAACGAGAAGCGTAGGCCATTTTTTTAAAATCGAATCTCTGTTTGTTGAAATTAGGGTTTGTGGTGCTGCGTTGAGATCTCTATCTGAGCACTTGGGGTGTGTTTGTTTGATAGATAGACTGCGAGTTATTCTTTTACGGAGTCAAACTTCATCTTTTATCAGTGATCAACGGCTCAGATTTATCCCCAATGTTAATTTTTGTGGGAACGCTTGGAATTTTTTATTTTTTATTTTCTTCTTTCTGGCCGAATTTTAATTTCTGAAAGCCCATTGGGCAAGTTACAGATATAGAAAAAGCACGTTTACAACTTTGATCAAGTAAATTTAAACAACTTAATCTCTTCTAATTAAGAGGTACTAGGTGACCGATCCGCATCCTGTGCGGGTATATACAGATTCAAATTATGGACTTAATAATACAAAGTTTTAGAAGTAATAGATTTTATATCATAAGACCATCGTCTTTGAGGTAAAGCATCAGACACAGAAAAATGCTGGTACACAATATTTTACATGTAGGAGATGAAACAAAGTAACTTCGGTATCAATAGGTAGTTACTGTGTGTATTTATAATTGCAAAATCACAAAAAAATTTGTGTGCTGAAGGTTGAATTTTATTTTCCAAATCTAAAATTAATAGTGTGTAGTTTTATACGTAACATATTTTCTATTATCACTAATTAGAATTGTATTGTATATGTGTTGTAATTCTTTATTTTAGGTGAAAAATATTATTATGCATAAATTTTTCGTAAAATGTATGTAGACAGATTAAAAGAAATGTTACACATATCCCTCTTGCTCTCTCTCTTTCGCTCTCTCTCTCTCTCTCTCCATCTCCCTCTTTCTCCCTCTCTCTCTCGCCCTCTCTCTCTCCCTAGCTCTCTCTCTCTCTCCCTCCCTCCCTCTCTCTCTTTCCTTGTGTCTCTCTCTCTCTCCCTAGCTCAGAACATGCATTTCCTGAGAGGGAAATGTATATACAGACGTGATCTTATGATATAAAATCTATTACTTCTAAAACTTTGTATTATTAAGTCCATAATTTGAATCTGTATATACCCACACAGGGTGCGGGCCGGTCACCTAGTCTTCATATAATCCAAAAGAAAAATCAGCTTTCATGAAATATATAAGCTTAATGTTCTAAAATAAAAAGAAAAAAAAGT